GTCCATTTACCATTTACCATCTCTAGCTAGGTTGTGGCTATCTCTAGCTAGGATATAGCTATCTCTAGCTAGTTTTTACCACATTTTGGCTGCGTAGCGTAGTACTGATTGTGCATGTAGAATCGTGTGATATTTGAATGGATTCTGGTTGACATGATTCTTCCAGTTTGAATGTTGAACATGAAACAAATGTTTTTATTCCACAGTTTGAGTTACAATCAGAATGAAAGAAGAAAAATAGATCACAGATTCATCAGATGTTTCTGTCTGCTAACAAGCGTACAAAAATACTTTGATTTAGTTTAAACTTCAAGTATCTACGTACAACAACATGGTCCATCTATCAGACCAGTATAAACCAGTCTGACCCAGTTTAAACTGTCAGACTGGATTATATCAAACACACCAGTAGAAAGACTCTGACACTCGGTACCTGTTTACTTCGACAGTTTTAACGGAAGCTCCTCCCTCTTCTGACATGTCACAGGTGATGTTATACACCTGTGATGTCACACACCTGTCTAAATAAAAGAGGAAGAACACATACTCTGTTGTCGCCTTTCAAAATAAAACCAAACACAGTCGTCTGGTCAGAGTGACTCAATCAGGACGAAAACATTCAGCCCTGCATTTAATTTCTTTAAATTATCTTGATTCTGACGAACAACATTTCAGTCGCAGTAAAACTTTATCAACAATTCTTGGAGACATTCAAAGACTCTTGTTTCATTAAAACCTTATAAAGACACGTTAACATCAGTGTCACATTTCTTCTCTGTGTGTACAGAGAGAGGTCTACATTTAGCCTAGCTTAGCACAAACACTGGAAACAATTAGCCTACCCTAGCTTAGCCTCGAAATTCACATTCCAACTTTAACACATTCTTTATTTTTATTTTACACTAACAAGCTGAAAACCTCTGGTGCCTGTTCACTCACAATTTTAAAGGACACTTAATATTACTTATGTTTCAACCTGGATCTCATTTTAATAACAGTTTAGTTTATTCAACCTCACACAAACCAGTCAGAAGTCAACGGTATATAAGCAGTTAGATTATAAGACAGGTGGAAAAATAACAGAATTTCCCTGTTAAGTTCAGTCAATTGGACGACTTCAAGCAATAATTTAAATCTGGTTCTAACTACAGACCACCAACCTTCACTGTGACACTTTCTGCTATGACCAGCCCTTTAAGATTTTATATTTGTGCTAAGCTAGGCTAACCCCTCCTTTGTAATGGACACACAAAGATGAGGCTGGAACCCATGTTGTCCTGTTGTGTGTTGAACCAGATGAAGTGCTTCAGGGTTGACGGTACAGTACAGGCTCTATTGCACATCTTTACAGTATTTACAGTCTCAGCAGGTTTTGGCTCAACACGACTTCTTTGGAATTTCATAAACAAGAAAACCACATTTTATTTAACTTCATCTCAACACAAATTAGATCAAATTAAATCTTAGCTCAGTGCTATGAACATTGACGTTAAAGAAACGACGGACGTTTCTAACATCCCTCTGAACTGTAAAAGAAAGGTAATTCATTCAGAGACCATTTGCACAGAAATACCAGTTATTATATGGACTAGTGTAGATAATTACAGTACGTACAGCGCAGTAGGTAGTTTCAGTCAGAACAGGAGCTGATAAATGGATTCAAATAAATACATCAGCTTCATCAATGCAAAGACAACAGTTTGTTTTAGAGCTGATCTTAGGTTCATCAGTTAAACTTCAGCTGCAGCAAAAGGTTCATGTTTTCATTTGACACCGTAATAAAAATGGAGACGACCTCAGTGCAAATAGTGCATCTGTAAACATCGAACAAGATAAGATCATTTAATTTTTATACTTTCATCAGTTTGTAACTGAAGTCAATAAGTGATTGTGGAGGTTTAGAGGAAGCTTCAGCAGCGAGCTGCAGCCACAACAACTTTAAATCAGTTTCACCAAAAACTTATTTTTCCACTGTTACCAGGAAGAGAACATATATTAAAGTCTCCATCAAGTCAGAATCAAAGTGTTTTAATCAATACGTCTGCTGTCCTCCGGTTTCGGCCCAACAGGGACAGGAAGTCCTGTTTCAGATATTTTCAGGTGTTCTTAATGATATTTTAGAGTTTCCTGATAATCAATAAAAGTAGTTGATGACTCATCCTGCACTCGGGGGCGTATACTAATGCTGCGTCCAATCAAACGCTTTCTCTCTTCTGACGCCACCGGAGCGGAGTGTTTCTGAGGGCCGATGTGTTACAGACATCTATGGCCTCACTGATTACTGCACAAAGACCTACTGTATAGCTACATCAGCTAGTTAGCACTACTTTATTGCAACATTAGCTCAACTTTCTAACTGTATATAGTGATTTTGGTAAAACTGAATCAGATTTTATAGAGAAAATATTTCCTGGTTTTCCTTCTGACATCCTCTGGCTGCTCAGCTTCAACTCTCTGTGATTGACAGAGTTTCCTGATGGACAAATAGCTTTAGCTGAAGTAGCTAACCCGTAATTAACTGCTGCTTACTGTATCTGCCGTTAGCGGGCGACAGAACCGGGCTCAGCAGCCCGACTGGGATCAAACACAGCCTCCAAAACCGACAGAATAACGTTACAGTACCAAGGTCATTTACAGAGTTTCCTGATGGACTGATTGATCAGTAGCCAACCACTAACTGCTGTTAGCTCGGTCAGCCATGCAGCTAAGCCAACTGACTCAGCCAGGAGCCGAACCCAGGAAGAAAACCACCTTGATATAGGATTCCCTGATGGTCTTGGAGATTGTGTTCGGTCCAGGGTATGGCACTAGCTGCATAGCAGTGGGGGCGTAACACATACTCAGAACTACTGGCTGCTGTAGACACCAATCAATATCCACGATAAGTTCCTCCTTACTGCCAGTTTTTACAGGAAACACAAACTGCACTCTGCTTCCTGGTTCATGGAGACTTTAACACCGTGTTAATTAATTTATCTCAGAGCTTGTTAACTGATTCGTTTATATATAGTTATTTTTATTCTAAACTCATCGCTGCAGCCCTCCATAGAGACCAGAACATGGTTTTAAATGTGTCACAGAGTTCGTCAGTGATGATCTGATCACAGTAAATCACCACCCTGAGAGTCTCTGCAGCTACCCCTCATGCCTTGCTCCTGTCATCAATCCCCATTGGACTCGATGACCTTCTCAGCCAGGATCTCCTGGAAGGTGGAGAGCTGCTTCATCTGCTCCGTCTGCATCGAGTGTCTCCTCATCAACTTCTTCTTCATCTTGAAGTCGGGGCCCCGTTTGGGCGAAGCTGGGGCCACAGGAACCAGGATCTTGTGCCCGGAGTGGATGGGGGAGGTGGGCTTGCCGTTGGCCCGAATATCGGGAATGGGTCTCTGGGGGTTGATGTTGAGTGGAGGCAGGAAGCCAGGCCTGGTGTGGGAGATGTGGTCCAGCAAGAGGGTGCCAGAGCCCCTGCGCTCCAGGAGCCCAGGGTGACGCCTGCGCATGGTGATGGGGGACACTGAGTTGGGGATGTTCTCCAGAGACTCCCTGGAGGAGCTGGTGACCAGGGACAAGGGTGAGGCATTGTACCTCCTCCGTTCAACAGACACCCGACCAGAGTCCGGAGATCCAGGGATGGACTCTGGGCAGAGGTGGGTGTCTGACTCGTAGTGCTCCATACGGGTCAGTTTGGGGTGAGCAAGGGCCCGTGTTGCAACTGCCCCCGGGCCACCAGCATTCTCCTGGGACTCTGGGGCTGTGTTCCTGCGGTACAGGATCTGGTGCTGCTGCACTTTATCAGCCCAGGAGGAACCAGAGAGGGCAGCGCAGTCCTCGGAGCAGGACCGGTCGATGAGTTTGGGGGAACAGGGGTCGTGGGTCTCAATGCTGTGTCGCCGTGACAACAGAGGTCTCACTGATTCTGTGATGGACAGGCCGTTGATCTCAGTGATCATCTTGCTCAGGTCGCAGCTGCCCTCTTCCTCCAGACCTCCGGCAACCCGCTCCTGAGGAACCCCACTCAGCACCGAGGGCGCCACCAGGCCCCAGGGCTCTGAGTTCAGCCTCTTCAGCAGCTTGCGTGGTGGAGGTCTCTTTTCTCCTGGAGGTCGAGTTGAAGGTAAAGGTAAAGCCGAGGTGAGTGCAAAGCTGAAGAATCCCTCCTCGTCTTTGCTCTTGTCTCCTGCTGGTGAGGAGGTGCCAATCTCAACCTCAGAAGGAGACATGCAGGCTGGAGACAGTTTGTCCACAATGCCCGGTGAGGGGGGTGAGTTGAGGTACTGCTTGGTCTTCTTGGTACCTGACGGAGACGTGTCAGTGGTGATGATAATCACCTCCTTGCCTTTGGCCTTGCAGGCATCCAGCAGCACCTGTAGAGTGTCGCGGTTTCCCCTGTTGATGGCATGGACGAGGGCAGAGGAGCCAGAGTAGTCTTTGAGGCTTGGATCGGCTCCGTTCTCCAGCAGGAGTGAGACCACCTCCTTGCCTGCCTGCTCGGCGCAGGCGTGCATCAGTGCCGTCCTCCCACTCTTGTCGGGAATGTTCGGATCGGCACCTTTCTCCAGCAGGTACCTCACCATTTTCTGCCGGGTCTGCGGGTCATCGTAGCTCGCCAAGCAGGCAGCAGAGATTGGAGTCTCTCCACGCTCGTTGCCCTCATTGATGTAAGCTCCGCCCTCCAGTAGCAGCCGGGTCAGCCTCAGCTTCCCCTGGAAGACTGCTTTGAGAAGGGCATTCCCCTCGGTCTGCAGCGGTCCTCCATCTCCCATGATCCCTTGTCTCACCTCAGAGCCCCTGTCCACTGGAAGCTAGCTTAATGCTGAATGGCCATCTTCCACGAGAAGTCACATGACCTGCAGGAAAAACACACATGAGGTAAGTTCACCGCCAGTTTGCCGCCATGTTAGCAGACTGAGGATCTAAACATGATGACATGATAGGCTGAAATAATGAAACAATAGGAGACTCTGGAGGTTGGTTGGTAATGTGTGCTGTTACAGTGACTGTAAATACCACCCTGTAAAAAAGTGTGATTCAATGTTTTGCAGAACCCAACACTGAATTTGTTTTCAGAAAATTGTAATCTATAACTTTAGCCGTACACAGTCCGTAGCCACGACCGAACATCATCCTGAGCGTCGGCCAACAAACACTGAACGCTGTAAAATAATTAATAATGTCTAAATAATGTCATATTTAGAATAACGTTACTATCTATATGTTAACTGTTTTCTGAGTTTTCTTCCTCTTTGACGAGTCGACTAGATTAAGCGTCAGGTGTCGCCGCCGCTCAACGCAGTGATTCGTCATGATGCTTTTATTCCTCAAACCTTCCTCTCCTCCGCCATCTGCATCCTCCCCCGAAGCTCCTGCTCGTATCCCTCGTTCCTCTTTTTACTCTCACGACACAAAACTGAACGTGTCTGTGTTCGGACTGTCGGTCGGACAAAACGAGGCCGAACGATTAATAAAAACCCTGATTACAACACAACTTACTACAACTACACAAACATTGTAAACAATCAGTAATATTCCAGCAGCTGGACGCCAAAACATTCAGTAAAATAACAGAAAATAACTACATACAGTAACTAAAATACAGTTTTTAACTTTTATTTGACATAAAATCTTTTTAATGTTTAATTAAAGATATTAACACAATGATCTATAAATCCAGGTGAACTCTGCTATAAATAACAAATAATCAGGACTTATCATTTACAGCAGAGTGCTGTTATTATTGGATTGTTATTACCATTAATGTGAATGTGTAAAAGTTATATGAACTGTAATAGAAAGCATGCTATCTGGAAATTACAGTTATTATTTGCTGTTTACACTGATAAACTTACTGTATTTGGACCAGTTTACCCAAAATGCTTATACACCTGATAAACAACATTTATTCAACTTATTTTAAAGATGTGTGTCAGATTGTTTTACAGTGAAGTTTCTAACTGGATATTTTCAGCTACAAACATAGAGGTTGTTATTTCAGCGAGAGTTGAAGCATTGTGTGGGTTTGTTCTGCTCTGATTGGCTCCCTGACCACCTGTTATATCCAGAGGGCACACACACACACACAC